GTCACAGCGAATATAGGCGCTATATAACTATTACGGATTTCGCATAGAATTTCACTTAAAAAATGTAACTACCCGACTATATAGGTGATTAGCCATGCATATGACTGTGCGACACTCACTGGTGCAGTTCATTGCGCTGGACTGGCGGATAGTCCATGAGTCAGCCACTCTGAAAGGTGAGGTTTTGGGTACGCTGCTTTTCATTACCAGCAATTTTTGAACTGGCGTTGTTTATGCATTTCGATAAGAATCTGCATCCGCAAGCAAAAGCAGTCCAAAGCGGTGTGATGGGCATAAGGGTGGAATTGTGATAGACGTTTGGTCGAACCGTTGTCACAAGCCTTTGCAATAACGGTGACCACTTTTTCACTTGCCAACGTATTTTACGCTGTAACACTCTACGTGAGAATGAATTTAATTCTTCTCAGGAACAGCATTTTGAACCTTAAGGAATCATTTTACTACCGGAAACCCTATGATCTAACCATAATTTGAAATACAACTTACACCCGTCTAGTATGACTCCAAAACTAGCCTGTATTTATTATCGTATTTAATCAGTATTCAGTTTTGTCGTACGCTGTCACCCTTTATGGTGGCGCAACAGAGCTGAAATTATGAAAATTTCGAATGATGCATTTGCACCCTGATCTCACTCCTTTCGAAATTTTGATGGTAGTGAGACCTTTATAAAAACGTTTATCATGTTTTCAATGAGATGCGCTTAGGTCTTACATTATTGAGAGTTCCGCTCTACCACCGTTTAGAAAATCCCGTGTGTGCTCAAATGAGCCGCGCTACAATCCTAGGTGGTGCATCTGATTTGTCTACCTTTTGGAAGTTCTGTGCATGCACTGAGGCCTATGATTTCCAGTAGATGTCAATGGATTTCCTCCTTGTCCTCAGTCTTGTGAAAACATCGGAGAGATGCTAAAGAACCCTCTAGGCAGGGACTGCTACGCACACGCCATGCATTCCACTTAAACCAGCCCTACAATCGTACCATACTCGGGCACAGTCGGTACATCACAATTGAACAAATGCATGTTTATGGTTCTATGTGTGGATGCGTTTTGTCGTCAAATCTAAAACAGAACCCTCATTCCATTCGGAAC